TGGACCCGGTTTAATGGATAAAGTGGATATACATTGAAGGATAAGCCCACTAAGACATTTAAGCCCAACGATAGGGGTCAAGCCCAACTTGGGCCCAAAAGGTACACTCCCCCTATAAAAGGGGGTCAAGGTACCTCATTCTCTCACTCACTACTCATTTTGATGATTACACTTTCTCTCTCTTGATATGAGGACTGACTTAGGCATCGGAGGCCCGACGCCGGGGCCACCCCCGGCGTTGGGTTCTTGCAGGTACGGAGGCCGGTTGAGTTGAAGGAGCCCGGGTGAAATCTATTTCACTTCATTAATATTAAAACTTATAAGATAAATTAATTAATATAAATTATTTTTGTATTAACTATCCAAATAAAAAAAAATAGTAGTTGAGTACTTTATTAAACTATAAATAATTGACTATTCCATTTACGTCTAAGTTAATATTGACCCGTAAGTTATAGCTAAATGCTCATTTGACTTTGAAATTTGGAACTCAAATTTGGACTACACAATCCCTTATATAAATCATATAAATTTGTATTTTAATAATCTCACAATTTTCTAGGTTTGTTGACTGTTACTTGTTGTTCAAATTAACCAACTAAATATCTATAATTAAATTATAAATTCTAATTTCTATTCAGAAATATTATTCTAATGTCTATTTAATTTTCACGATGAACACATACCAATTAACATATTACATCAATATTTTATTGCAAGTTATTACAGGAATATGCTAAAAATTAAGAATCATATATCCTTGTTTTGTAACAAATCGGCCTAAAATTTGACTTTCATACTAATGCCAAATAAAATTCATACTGCTTATTTTTTTCTAAGATTTTCAAATACACTTTTATTCATACCAAATGAAATTCATACCATTTAAATTAGAAATCCGTTGTTTTTATGATCTTTGGGTACGAACGAAACGAAGCAAAGGGCCAGTGAGGGTATGGTTCTTGTTGAACATTTGGACATTTCATACGAAAATAAAATCATCTCATTTTATTCATCATAATACTCAATTGTTATTTTATTCTAAAATCTATTGTCACATAAAATGTATTAAGATAATTTATTTATTTTTTTTAAATTAACCACCCAGTTTTCTTATATGCAAATATTTTGATATTTCTAACAAACTAAACTTTATACTCTAATACTTACACAACATAACATTCTATTCACGCTAGGTAGTATAAGAACCAAAACGCGTTGAATTACATTGTAAACAATTTAAAACACAAAAAGGAATACAATTTCAATATGAATGATTACTAAGGCGAGGTTACATTATTTATGGGAAAACCCCGTGCATCAAGAGGGGGTAAATTTTAAATATTGATTTGTTGAAAATTAAGCACATCATTATCTTTTTAAAAGAAAACAAATAATATTATGATAGAATATCAATCAATTTAATGCGTGATATATCATGTTTATCTATATAAGTTTTGTGCTATCATATATTTGTATTTTTATTTCAAAATAAATTAAACATTAATTATAGATTATAACTTTTTACATTGACGTGTTTAAAACAATTAGTTAAAATTGATTAACGGGAATAATTTTATTCATTTTCAATTTCTTGTATAAATATTTATTTGAAACATATTTATTAATTATATAATAAATAAATATGATATTCTAATTAATAATTAAAGTTAGGTGGGTTATACTGATAATCAATATTAATGAGAATATTTGTTTTCAATTTCATATAAGGAATGTTGCAACTAAGTAATTTTAATTGCAATAGATATGAAATGTTGCGGTTGTGATATATATTAAGGGATGATCTTTATTTATAATGAAAATAATAGACAAATCATTTTCCATAATAAATGAAAATTACACAAATATTAAGTCGAAATATTCTTGAAATTCAAAACTGAAGCTCTATTGAGTTCATAACCATTTGCCGAGGAAACTTAATAAGACACATTCTTAAACTCATTGAAACTAATGTGTGTGAATGGTTTGAAGTAGTATAAACATTGTTTAAGACCGAAATTCAGGATTTTTATATGTTCATTGAAGTTGGTACTGAAGTAGCATTGAATGAGTATTGTGTAACTCTAGGGTCAGTACAAATTTCACATACATTGACCAAAATTAAAGTAATTAATTTTCGTTGGCCAAGTCGGTACTAATTGATGTGAAATAGGTACTATATCATCATTCTTGGTATTATGGTTGAGATAAATAGGTACCATTTTACTAATCGTGATTTCTTTAATCCGTAAAGTCTACTATCATTTGGATTGTTCACGCATGATTTGGTTGAAAACTAGACGGATTTAAAACATATAGGTGGAGTTTAGAGTAGTTATGTATGATCATTCAATGAGATGAAGTGGCGTTCAATGAGATGAATTGTATTAGTAGTGTTTGTTGATTAATGTATTGAGTTCATGACCACTTGACGGGGATTTTTAATTTAACACATTCAAAATCTCATAGAAACTAATGTGCGATTTCGAGTAATATGAACATCATTTAAGATCGAAATTCGGTGTATTTTTATGTTCGTTGGAGTTGGTACTGAAGACCCGATATTGAGTACTAAAACATCATTTAATGAGTATTGTGTGGCTCTAGGACTAAAACTAATTTCTTAAACACTAATCAAAATTAAAGTAATCTATTTTCGTTGACCAAAGTAGGTACTAATTGATTAAAAGCAGGTACTGAATGCAGACATTATTGGTACTATTTGCAGGAAAACAATACCATTTTACTAATCATGATTTTTTTAATCTGTCACGTCTATCATGTCACATGAATCATTCACGCATAATTTGGTTGAAAGCTAAACGAATTTAAAACAAATAGGTGGAATTTAAAGTAATTATGTATGAACATTAATGAGATGAAGTGTATCATCCAATTAGATGGAGTGTATTATAGTGTTTGTTTATTTAGCGATAAAACTTAATTCAACACATTCAAAAACTCAAAGAAACGAATGTGTGAGTGATTTTGAGTAATATAAACATCGTTTAAAATTGAAATTCGTCATTTTTTATGTTTGTTGGAGTTGGTACTAAAAACCCGATATTGAGTACTAAAACACTATTTAATGACTACTGTATAACTCTAGGACTGGTACTAATTTCACAAACATTGACCAATATTAAAGTAATCCATTTCTGTTGACCAAAGTATGAACTAATTGATTAAAAACATGTACTTAATACAAACATTATTGATACGATTTGTAATTATAATTTTTTTAATTTGTCACGTCTCCCATGGCACATTGATCGTTTACGCATGAAGTGATTGAAAATTAAACGAATATAAATATATAGGTGAAATTCAAACTAGTAAAGTATGATCATTCAATGAGAGAAGTTAGGTAACGTTTGTTCATCAGTATGTTGAGTCCATGACTACTAGTCGAGGATAATTAATAACACGCATTCATAAACTCATTAACTAGTGTGTCCGTGTGTGTGTGTGTGTGTGTGTGTGTGTGTGAGTGTCATTTTGAGTAATAAAAACATCATTTAAGACCAAAATTTTGTATTTATTAGAGTTCATTAAAGTTGGTGTTGAAGACCCAATAGTAGGTACTAACCTACTATAGAATGACTCGGAGACCTACCAAAGTACGAAAGCCCGTTACACTATTGAGTCGGTACAAATCTCATAAACATTCACCAAAATTAGAGTAATTCATTTTCGTTTACCAACGTCGGTACTAATTGGCAATAGGTACTATCATAAAATGCACCCAGTATTATGTTTAAGACAAACAGATACCATATTACTAATCGTGATTTCTTTAACCATTCATGTATACTATGTCACATGGATCGCTAAAGCATGAAGCGATTGAAAAATAGACAAATGTAAAACATATAGGTAGAATTTAGACTAGTCAAGTATGATATTCAACGAGATGAAGTGTATAAATAATGTCTATTCATTAGTGTCTTGAGTTCATGACTACTAGTCAATGATAATTAATTACACACATTCATAAACTCAATAAAACTAGTGTGAGTCACTTTTAGTAATAAAAACGTAATTCATTACTTAAATTTTGTTTTTTTAGTTCAATAGAGTTGCTACTGAAAACTCAATAGCAAGTACTAACATACTATAGAATGAGTACCTCTACACTATTGTGTCGGTATAAATCTCATAAATATTAACCAAAATTAGAGTAATCTATTTTCATTGACTTTCAGCACTAACTAATTGGTAATAGCTATCATACAATGCACATGGTACCGTGTTTAAAATAAACATGTATCATATTACTAATCGTGATTTCTTTAATATGCCACGTTATCATGTCACATGGATCGCTCAATCATGAAGTAGTTGAAAAATAGACGAATTTATTTATGCATTATTGTAGTCTAAGGTCTCAGCCTTAGCTACAGGGTTTGTCTCTAGGCCGCTTTCATGCATGTCCTCTCATGCTTTTTCTTTCGATGTTTGTTGGGCTTTGCCGTTGTATTCGACCTTTCTTCCCATTTGAGTCATTATAATATCCTCTATCATTCGAAAAAATAAAAAAAAATTAAAGTTTCAAAAAACCTTAAAAAGTCTTGCATATGAAAACAAGACATAAATATCCATAACAAAGCATGTGACTTGGAATTACCAACGATGTGATATCAAATGCAAACCAACTATTATCTAAATCCATTACATATTAAGCCAAATCGACTCAGAACATGCACCACTTCAGATAGAAACCAACTATTATCTAAATATCCATAACATAAGATATTGTTCAAGGCGAATTCCAAACAGATAGAAAATGAAAACGAAGATCCCCAATTCACAACACCATGCATAAATTATCTTTCACCTGCACAACACAAGTTTTCATAGCGCAATGTGTTTACGCATTTCACGATCACCGAAAGAACATAAAAAAATATCGAAACAAATTGCCAAGAACTTCAAGTTGAAACGGACCTTGCGCAAAATATGTCAAAAGGTTCAACTTGTCATCTTTGTTGCATGCGTGTTTATTTCTTTTCGTCCTCTTTAGGTGGTGTCTTGTCTTCTTCCTTGTTCTGCAGGTAAGTATATGTTACTACTACCAATTCAAGGAAAACAATAAAACACACACACATACTCACAAAATAATTAAACAACCAATACCATATTTACAGATTAGAGACAACTCATTCCATGACTTCTTTTTTCAAGATTTAATCCTTTATCTAATGACAGATCCAGAAAGTCACTCATGAGTGTAAAGCTACTAACAAAAATGGGCTAAGATTGCACGAAGTGACCAGTGCAAAAGTGAGGGAGGTTTTATTAATGTAAAATGTAAACTAATATTCTAATCAGAAAATCAAGAAAAAATTTCTTCAAGCAATATCGAAACAAATATTTTAATCAGAATTATGTATAAAATCAAGATAATTTTCTTCAAGCAATATCGATTGCTTAATTTTACCTCAGACGGACTCTGCATAGAAGCCAGCAAATCTTTGACATGAGGATCATTCGGATCAACTCCAGGCAGCTGTAAAAATGAGTCGGCCATGAAATACAACAGTACATAGTGGATAGATTGGTGTTTGCTTCAATACAAGATAATCAATCGAAAATGAAATTATCACAATAAAAGCAACAATGTTCAGCATAATAGTTACTTGGGAAAGTATGGTGGTCATAAAGGACTGGTCTCCCAACAGCTTATTGACATCTGACGGATTGGATTGTTCTCCCGAACTGTCTTGAACAGATAATTGAAGCGCTACAAGAATCAGAAGCAAATTATTGAGTCACAAGGGTAGCTCCAGTCAGGTAATCCCAACACAAGGATATTAGTGAAATGGAAGTAACAAGGTTTATTAGGACAGGGCACACTAATAAACATTTCTAACAAATAATTATCTCAAACTTGAAACTCAAAGTTCAGCTGCATATAATCCTTCTAGCACGTGTTTCCCAGAATCCCAATATATGTTGGTTAGAAAAGCATTCAGAGAAATTTTATATGGTTATCCAACTGAAACCCAATTATCCACTCTGCTTAAGTAGAATTTACTGCTAGACAGATTTAAACTTCCATATCAATTTATGATGTGGACAAAAGGCTTGGATGAGACAGCTCAAGAGCACCACGTCATATTCTTCTGTCATCATTTGTACTCTTCACCGAAACAATTAAGGTAGAAGTTATATAATATCCCTTGCAAAGGAAGGAAAGGAAAAGTCCTGTTAGCATAAAAGATTAATTATACTAAAAAATAGTCCATCTGATCAAAAAATTGGCTACATTATACTAGAAGACAAAAAAATTATTTCCTAAAAATGAAGAATCCTCAATTGTAACTTTGGGAAAGTAGCAGATCCAGGAAACAATAAGCTAACAGGAAAAAATCAATATACAAACAGTCTTTTTCTCGTCCATCAGATAAGCAGATTCAAGCATGCATCAACTTTATATAGCAAATTTTCCCACAAATAAGCTCTCACCAAGTTGCAAATCATGATCATCTGCGGATGCATCTGACATGTCAGTGTCGCGTACAGCAACAGTAGAGGAAGAGTCATCCATTGACATAGCTAGAGCCTGCTGTAACAATGCATTCTCATCATCCTGTAAGAATATATCATCTGTTAGCAGCAGTCTATAACTGCAGTTAAAAGTTTAAGTGACCTTATAGTTCAGGGCTGTTCCGAATAAAAGTTGCAATATCTAATACAGTAAGGAAAAGAGCTTTCACATGCAGAGGTAAACCAAGATTTTGAAATTTTACATGGAAAATGTGATTCTATTTTCTAAACAATAGTTTCTTGTCAAGCACCAGCAGAAGCTTTTCGTGATCCTCTATCACGCACCACATAGGTCTACAGAAGCTTTTCATTAGGTAGCAATCAAATATTAAAAGCTCCCTTCCAGTAGAGAATGGTGATTTAAAATATAATTGAGGAAAACTGTTGAATTTTTTAAACTGTGGCTGAATACCAAAATGAAAATTAACAACTATATATAATATAAAAATAGTAACATAACGAAATGATTAGTAGTTTGTAGGAAGTGAGCAGGTGGGATAGTGAATTTGGTAGTCAATGAGCAGTAATGACTGGTTTTATTTTGAAAATTGCATTAATTGGATTGAGGAAAAAAAAAAAAAAAGGCGGAGCAATGCCCTTTTTGCATATATGTTTCCCATCACAACTTTGTACAAATAAAATTCTTTGTTGGAAAGAAAACAATAATTTGTGGTATCCAATAGCAGTCTCACTTTCTTCACATGATCTGCCTCAATCACACACTGCTTAGTTTGAAATTTTAAGCTACTCATAAGTTTCACAAAAGCATCTAGAAATTCTTAAGAATACTCGCACACAATTCATACAAGAACACAAATAAAGGATAACATATATCCAACGGTGAATCACAGAGTTCAGGTATACCCCCCACAGATCCAGGACAAAAGACCGATAAAATTAACATGCACACCCAACCTAATCAATATTAAATATCAGATCAGACAGCATTTCCCTATAAACTTATCTAAGTTCATCTATTTTACCACATGTTTGTCAATTAAAACCAAGTATCAAATATTCGAGAACTTTTAATTTATATTTGCAGGAAATACGACAGTTTAAGTGACTTAACAGAAGTTACTTATGAAAACTCATGAGTCCTGTAAAATCATAAATGACGCAAACATAGAACTCAAGTGTCTACAAGTTGACATGTTACGAAGCTTTAATATAATAAACATATAAGTCCAGACCCAGACAACAAATTTACGCGTTAAACTACATAAGCCTTTTGAATAAAATAGACTTCCAACCGTTAGATCATTTGTCTTCTTTTCCGGTTGAGAAGTTCCAGGGTTCGTATTCTCGGTCATTGTGGCATCTTGTATCGTGGTCTGTTGTTCTCCTTTTTCCTGTTTGGAAGATTCTTCTGCAGCCTTCTTCGCAGCTGCTTCTTGCCTTGCCCTCTCCTCTTCCATTGATACCCTAAGTGCAAGGGCAAGTTCAGGATCCAAGTTCGGATCCACACCAAATTCAAACCCAGATGCAGCTCCAGCAGCTGCATAGCCACTTCCCCCTTCCCCATCTCCAGTAAAGATTGGGGTACTGCAGAAAATGAGTAGAGAAAATAATTATATATCTCACAATTGACATTGATATCGACTACAAATTAAGAGATAAGAATAGAAACCTGATAAGCACATCTGAAAGGACGCTAGGACCAGGAGGAACATGAACAATATGGCTGCTATCATTGTTATTTACTCCAGCAAGCAATGCCTCGAGCTTTTCATTCTTTTCTTCATCTTCTTCACCAAAGTTTACAATGTCAAGAGCAACACTGTTCTTTTTCAGTTTCCTTCCAATCAACTCAAGCACCTTCTTCTCATACTTAACAGGGCTATAAATTCAGAAAACAGAAAGCGTAAAAGGTTAATATGAAGAAAATGAACTATAGTTTTATTCAGCGCAAAAATCGGAATGTATTGGTACCTTCCTGCAAACACAATAATCCTTTGTTGCTGCTTCTTGTTTTGACGGTGCTTGAGGGCCAACTGAGCAACCTGGATCCCAGCGGCCAAATTCATCTCACCGCCTATCTCTAAACCTATATATTCATTAAGATAATATCAGCCTGCGTACTACTATTACAGTCCACTTACTCTCAACATACACATAACAAAGTTTTCACCCTCCCACACCCATAATAAACCAATGGTTGTTATTTCCTTCTTCCATCACAGAAAAACGTGAACAACCAAAACTTAAAAACACCCAACAATATTCAATCTTTGGGCTAAAATATCATTCTTAAATCTTGATTACAAATTTTTATACATAATTTCCAGTAATCTCAAAACTAATACTGTAAATCAAAGACATAAAATGGTTGAAACAATAAAATATCTAACCGTGCATGCAAGCCAAGATCTTTCCAAGGTCACTGGTCGGGGTGACCAAGACACGAACCCCCTTTCCAGCCATTGTTAAGATTCCCACTGTATTCTCAGGATTCGACTACAAATAGAACAGAACTCTTAGACAATTCAACAAGACTTCAAAATATATAAATGAAACAATCCAAACTAACTGGAACTCATCATATTATGGGTACAGAAACACAAATCACTAGTCAGGACATCAAGGTACCAAAATAAAGATCAAATTAAAGGAAAATACTTGAGTTTTAGCTCCACAAATTAGATTGACGGCGTCGCATTGGGCTTGGAATCTGTTGGGAGAGTAATCTCCGTTGCGCATCCACTCTGAATTGTCGATGCAGATCATCGTTGCCTATTTCAGCATGAACAAACAAACCCTAATTTAAAAGAGTGAAAACATAAAAGCACATACATGGAAGATCGAGATGAAGGACGAACCTCGAGCACCATGGCTGCACAGAATGGAAAACAAATTGACTGGAACTGAACCGAACAAATTATAAATCTGAATGTCTTCTTTGATGCAAGAGATGTTGGGGTTTCTTGGACGAGGGTATAGTGTAAAGTTCAAAGTGGTAATGGGGAAAGTATCTTTATATTTTCCAATCTGTTTTTATTTTATTTTATTTTATTTTTATTATGATTTATAAGGTCATATTATCTGTTATTTTTTTTTAATAATAGGATTTATAAAATAATAACTATTATAAAATGCGAGCGATATAAAGAACACAATGTATATAAACCAGAACAAAATATAAGCTGCTTTCTTTTCATTCTTTCTTCCTTCTTTTTCGTACAAAATTTACAATGCTGAAGATGCCTTTTTATAGGCAAAATTTTTGGCACATACTTCAAGGTAAATGATTTATTAATAGTGGTTATTCCACTTGCTACAACACTCCCTCTTGGAATTACCACTATTAAATGTGCGTTTATGCTGCCTCGTTAAAAACCTTATCTGGAAAAACCCTGTGGGAAAAAAACCGATATAAGGAAAAAAGAGTACCGCGGCACATACTCCCCCTCGAATTATCATCTGTATAAATCCCGAAGATGTCTCATTCCAATGTTGTGTACGTGCTTTCGAAATATTGTCGTCGGGAGCGCCTTCGTAAATAAATCAGCTGCATTATCGCTTGATCGAATGTATTGAACTTTGATTTGTTTGTTTCTTTCAAGCTCTTGCGCATATGAGAAGAACTTTGGAGGGATATGTTTAGTTATGTCACTTTTGATGTATCCTTCTTTGGTTTGAGCGACACATGCTGCATTGTCTTCGAATATCGCCGTCGGGTCATTATTATTTGATAGTCCACTGGCTTGTTGAATATGTTGAGTCATGTTTCTGAGCCAGATGCTTTCCCTAGTTGCTTCATGGAGTGCAATGATCTCAGCATGGTTTGAAGACGTCGCG